GTACGCAGTGAACTTAATATTGTCACTCATCAAAACCAGTAATTGCATTAATAGAAATCACTGTAGTGCACATACAAGCCATCAGTGGTAGCAAACAAACAAACAGATTTGATCCCTGTAATTGTAAATTATGTAAAGAATGTTTCTCAAAAAAATCTTCTTTTTATCATAAGTATGGTAATTAAGCAAATCATCAGTGAAAAGGTATGCCTAACAAAACAAAAAGAAAGAAAGAAAATATAAGCAAACTATTATATGAGACAAACTATTACGTTTTATTTTCCATTCACTTTGAGGATTGTAAATTTTCAGCTCTTACAAAAGTTCTCGGAATATGAATGAAAACATTTGCAATGAACATTACATATATAGCTGAATTAAATAAAAACAATAATAAAAAAAAAAATTATATGCCAGGGTAACAGTTGCAAATTTAGCATAAATGAAACTGTCACTGAGCAGGTGCTACCAGTTTACACTCAAAGTTTAGTAACTGATGAACATATATTTCTGATAAATTAAAGAAAAAACGTTTTAGCAGTTTAACAGGGTTGAAGGTTGATTAGCATTATTTATATAACATCTAATAATTTACTAACAGTTTTCAATTAAAAAAAATTCCAGTAAATTTTACAATTAATTGCAAAGAACGGCAAGTAACATGTTGATTATTATTATTAATATTATTCTAGTAGTAGTAGTAGTAGTAGTAGTAAAGTTCAAAGTGCCACATGGGCATTTAGGTCTTAATTTGTTAATGTTATTGTTGATTTATTCACCATCTTTCATATATGTACAATGTTTATTTCAATGAACTTGCTTTCTATTGACAAATTGCTTTTTGCCACAAAACAGTTTGGGCTAGAATCCACCAACATGTTGTCCATTGGTGTCCATGGACTATTTTATGGACAGTCCATGGACATTAATAACCCTAACCTAATCAGTATGTATCTAATTAGGAAATAAATGGGCAAGTTTTTGTTAAAGGGTTAGTTCACCCAAAAATGAAAATAGCCTGTGTTTTACTCACCCTCGAGGCATCCTAGGTGTATATGACTTTCTTCTTTTAGATGAATCCAATCGAGTTATATTAAAAATGTTCCTGCTATTCCAAGCTCTGGGTTGAGTCAGCGGTTGTTTCTGTTGAACAGTCCACAAGGCGTTCATCCATAATAAAACGTGCCTCACACGGCTCACAAGAAAAATATCCATATTTCAAACGTAATAAACACTTTTCTATCACTTCCGCTATCTGTCATACATAATAAAAAGTGTTTATTACGTTTGAAATATGGATATTTTTCTTGTGAAAACGCATGGATTCGCTCGCTATAGGAGGCCGTTATTCACCCTTTATTCAGTACATTAAGTTGCCACTAGAGGGCGTAATCTTCAAATACATTTGTAGAGGCCTCTAAACCCAACATTCCTGTACTGTGAATGAAACAAAAATCATCATATTACCCCCCCCTCCTAAAAAAGAAACAATTCTCACACAGAAAGCGATGAATGGTGAAGAAATACTCAGTCTCATGACATTTCTGTTACAAGTTTATTTTAGAACACTGACGTATACAGAGATGGGTCTGAACCCACATAGAGAAGGGAAAAGGAATCTACACCTCTATCTGCAGCATCAATATCACCACACAGTGCTTCAAAACAGCATCTCTATGCTGAAATAAAGAGAAGAACAAAAACCCTACAAGGCTAAAATACAAAATTTATGCACAAAACAAAGTAACAATAATTGGGCACCTTTTAAAAGTTACACAAAGAACTGGTGCTGAGGTAGACAATACAAAAAAGTAAAGCACGACAAATGTAAAACCATTTCGACACCAAGAACACAGTCTTGTCACTAGAACAAGGCAAATGGAGCGAAAATGGCCATTTGGTCCCACGTGGATCCTCAGTCCGAGTATTAATTTGTGTAACAATGGCACAAATATGGGCGCACTGAGTGACATGGCTACTTCCTGTCTGAAAGCAAAGTAAAACACAGTGATACAGCGGCAGGGATGCCAAGTTTTCACTTAAATGCTGACCTGTAGATGTATTTCTTGTGGCAACCGAAAAAAAAAGTAGCTGAAAGCAGTTACAAAACTAAACGTAGTATCCATAATGACAAAGAAAGTGTAGTGTTTATCCTAAAATTGATATCTGTGATGTTCTGTGAGTAAAGTGAAGGCATCCCTGATTGCCTAAGAGCACAGTTCATATCAAGGTGACTTTGCATAAAGACACAAATACAGGGCAGAAGATGTATCAAATCATTTACAGGGTGTCTGTCAGAGCACCTCTTTGTTGCATGTATTTAACACTGAATAAGTCGACCACATTGACTCACTGCACACACAAGGACCAGTACAGACCGTATAGGTGACTCTAATCTTACAGTGAGCGGTGAACACGATACAAACACACAGATACAGCTTTACTTTTCATGTCTTACAGGTCGCTTGTGCTCCATGACCTACAGCTCTTGGCGTTAGTTCACTCACAGTCATTTTATACCCAAAATGTGGAATCGTCATCATCATATGAATTGACACCCAGCAGCAATGACTACAATATGTCTTTACATACATCTACTACTTGTTTAACATTGCAAAATAAGCACAAGAAAACAATTTTCCACTCAAATCAAGAACAAGCACAAATGCAAAAGATACTGTAAAAATATTCGCCTCACTCAAAATAAACAAAAAAGAATGGGTCGCACAATACCCCGTACAAGAATACAACATATTCCCTTATCAAAGTGCCGCGTTTGGCTCTTGTCGAGAGATTTATTTTCACAGAAAGTCACCTATTCGTTTTTGTTTTCTCTAGCGAACTTCCCCACGTAACTGCACGCATCAGTACCGCATCTCTGATGACTTACCGCTTGAATAATTTTCACATAAAAACATCATTTTTATTCACATTGTTTCAAGTTTATGCCCTCAAGTATCTAATAACTAAACATTTTCTCAATGCTATTCTAAAATCATCTAGAATGTATGCATCTACCCTTTCAGGTTGAATACGTTTCATCGTAAGGAGTGTAAATATAATAACGAACGAACCGGCGAATGGAAACATGAGATTGGGTGTAATTGAAAATGCTAGTTACAAGCAAAACAAAAGTGTGCTTTTGCTTTAGTGCAAAACTGAGAGCAGAGTAGAGGTAGCCCTGAAACAGATGGCCGAGAGGCAGATATGCACACTAGTACTACGCTTAATGCTAAAATACCACTGAATAATTCACAGACCCAGACGTAATTTAAGATGTGGTCACAATAGCCAAATTTCACAGTAAATATTACAAGCAAAAAATGTTCACTGTGTCAATACTGTAATGATGTGTGAATTTGCACAATGTGAAGAAGAAGGTGGTGATTTTCGTATGAATGCATAAGATGTTATTCGTATTAAAACATATGATTTTTAGAAAATAAACATAAGCATGAAGGTCCATCCCTAAACGTAACCATCAGTGGCCGTAAGCAGATGAAGCACAGCTCACACAGAAGTCACTTTCAAACCATCTTTCTGTTGGTCAATGAGGCAAATTCACATGACCAAGTTGAACCCGTTGCAAAATCTGCGAAAGTGGAAATCTTTTGCCCTCATGTGAAATTCCTGATTATGTAGATTCCTATTGAAAAGATTGGATTTCCAACCCGATCTCATGAGAAATCGTAACTATTTTATGAGGAGCATTTTGTATGAATTCGTACGATGTGATTTGTTACGGAAATGGACAATTGTTTAGAAAAATACGTAAGCATGAAGGTCCACCCCTACACTTTACCATCAGTGGGGCGTAAGCAGATCATACAAAAATGTATAAATAAGATTTACAAATTTACACTAATTAGTCACAAATTTGCCAGAACATAAAATAGTTACGTATTGGCATGAGTGTGTATTGTAATCTTGCCTGTTGAAATTCGCCAAAGGCAAATGTGACCACGCCTTTACTGATTTTTTAAGAATACTCCAGTAGTGCAGAAAAGATTTAAAAATAGTAAAACACTTTAAATGTAAAGTACTACAGTCTTTTTGATAACTAAAACATTTACTAGTTAACCAAAACATAAACACATAAGTGGCAGATATATAGAATGTTGCGAACAAACGTTCCAATTCTGCTTAAATTTTGCGGGATCTCTCGAATTCTGTGTGGGACTGATGATGTGGTATTCTGAATGCATTGTGCAGCTTTTAAACAAAGCTCAGCAGGAAATGAGAGACAAAGACTAGTACAGAAATAAATCATGTGATGTAACAAAATTAGGCAATTCAAGTAAAACGTTCAAATAGAGATGACAGAACACAAACTAAAACGGCGAGCTAACTAAAGGAATTCTCAGCAGAAGACTGCAGAAACATATACTGCATTGTGGTTTTTAATTGTAAAAAATAATCTCTTTTTAATTCATAAATTGATTTCTGAGTATGATATTAATATTTCATTAGACTAAAATGCCTGCAGTTGCAAAACTGTGATTTTGTCATGCTACCATGTGAAAGTTAAAATAAAATCAACTGACATGCTGTATTATTTGGTGTGAAAGTGATTGAAATGAAAGCAAATCACAGAGATTCACCTCTCTGGCTTCGTTTGAATGCACTAAATGCAGAATGTGGTGCTGAAAAAAACAAAAGTGGGCCTCTGAAACTCTGAAAGTGCACAGTGTAGTTATTTAAGGTTGAATAAATGTCCCTGAACATCCACTACAGTTGCTTGGCAGCACAATTTGGATGTACCTCTGAGAAAAGCTGTTTTGTTAAGCACTTTATTACGCTTTAAAGAAAATGACTCTTGGGTCCAATCCTGTGCATTTCCTCGCAAGTATTTATATAAAAAAAAAACATGAAAATTGAGTACTAGAGAGCCTAATAATGAACTTAAGGGAGCAATTTTCTAAAAAAGGGCATAATTTCATTCGCTAATGTGTTCAGCTCCTCTATTTCATCGTGTGTGAATTTTAAGCTTTGGAATGCACTAAATGCAGAATGTGGTGCTGAAAAAAACAAAAGTGGGCCTCTGAAACTCTGAAAGTGCACAGTGTAGTTATTTAAGGTTGAATAAATGTCCCTGAACATCCACTACAGTTGCTTGGCAGCACAATTTGGATGTACCTCTGAGAAAAGCTGTTTTGTTAAGCACTTTATTACGCTTTAAAGAAAATGACTCTTGGGTCCAATCCTGTGCATTTCCTCGCAAGTATTTATATTAAAAAAAAACATGAAAATTGAGTACTAGAGAGCCTAATAATGAACTTAAGGGAGCAATTTACTAAAAAAGGGCATAATTTCATTCGCTAATGTGTTCAGCTCCTCTATTTCATCATGTGTGTGAATTTTAAGCTTTGGTCCATGTTTTTATTTGACTCAGAATAGCTCCATTTAGACCCCGTGAAATCAAAATATGAGGCTTTGAGTCCATGTGTGTGAGCTTTAAGGTTGCTAGCGTATTCTAAACGTTGACCTTTAGTGGATATGCATTTAAAATCATGGTTGTGATGCAACTAAAGGCTATTGGATGATCCCTATGACATTCCCCACCACTTGGAGATTTCATGGGGTCTTGAAAGTCTATGGCTTATGGGTTGTCCGTGGAGAAAAAGTGCGGGAATCCTTATTTGAATAAAACATTACATCATGATCATGCAGTGAATTTCTCCAATTAATAGGGTGGAATGCAGACAGATGGATTCTCATCACACTTTCTGAAAATTCATATCCCTTTATCACATATCACATTTCCATTTTATAAACATTTGTGAGTGCAGTTACATCCTAAAAATGTGCACAAATGCATGTCACAAACAGAAGGTCAAAAAAATCCACATCACATTTCATTACTTTGACCACGCCCTCTCACCATCTTTGGCTAGGACCAAAAGCAAACCTTCAAGTGAATTGTCTTTGGGCGTATCTTGCCACTTTCCCATTCCGTTTTGTTGCCCTGTCTCACACGTAGCAGAGGTACAGGTAGGTCTTCTCTATCTTCCAGTCTAGGGGCACGTCCTCGGGCTTGTGGGCCTTCATGTGCTTCTGCATGGACGAGAGGCTGGGGCAGTACTCCTGGCAGATGGTGCACTGGTAGGGTGAAGCGCCGTTGTGGGTACGCAGGTGTTTGATCATGGCGGAGTAGTCCCTCGAGCGCTGGTGGCACAGCTTGCACTCAAACGGCTTCTCACCTGTAGAGAACAAGTACAGAACATTTCAAACTACCAATAATGTGAAAATGACAGAATGATTAAAGTGTTGATTAAAGTCAGCATGAAATGGGAATCACAGCTCATTTTACTTTCATAATATGATGGATAATGTTCGGATCTATGAATTTATTCCAGGGTTATTATTGTAAACTAAAAGTAAAACTAAAATCATATAAGATTTTTGTTACTTAAAATAAAATAAACAAAAACTAATGGTAATAAAAAAAAAAACAGTTAAAAATTACAAAAATACACACACAAAAAATAGACAAATTTATTGTATTTCATTACTTAAATGTTAACTGAAATAAAAATTATATTAAAAAAACATCTTATTTCAGCTAGTTGAAATAAAATAATTAGACAACATTTCTCATTTACGTTTAGTTTAACTGGTACTACAATAAGTAAATATAAACCATTAACTATGCAGAAAATAACTATTAAACTATTAAAACTATTAAAATTAAAACTAATTAAAAGCTAATAAAAACAGAAAATATATAAATAAAATACAACTAAAAAAAAACATACATCCACAGTAAAAAAGTAATAAAAAACTGTAATAATATATCAATGATACTGAAATAAAACTGATTTATGCATAAATAAAAAAAATGCAATTCACAGATACAGTGACTTAACTGCACCTATGCTATAATGAGCATCTAATAATTTCTGAATTAAAATTCATTTTTATTTTTTAAAACAATGAAATTCTTGAAAAGAAAACCTTTTAAGTAGTTTATTTGTTTACCATTTCTCAGAAAATGTTTAAAAATATATATAAAAAAATAAAATAAACAAAACTGCCTCATTGCTTATTAATTTGAAAAACATTTCTTAAAGTCATGAAATTACATCACAGAGAAACCCCTGCAGACCTTCAAAACTGTGTGACAAGGTCAATAAGACTCTTAAAATATCAGATAATTTGACCCTTTTATTTTAATTAATAGTTTGTGATATTTCTAAAACATACTGTTTATCTTGAAAAATGTATTTAAAAACTTTTTTTTTTAAATGTTCAATGAAAAAAAAAAAAAAAACACTGGCCAGTACTGATGAAAGGTTATCATGATAGCAAGATTCTAGATTCTAGATTTCCCATACTAGCTCTGCTTCCTGTCTGATAAGGTGAAGTTAAGATGCCACCTGCTGTCCAGGACAGGAACGACAGATGTGTAGAGCCGTGGGTGTGTGCCTGCCACTGAGCACAGCAAACAGAGTATTGATCCACCATTGACAGCAAGTGTAAATGTCAGTGATTCTCCGGCTGGTTGTGTGAAGGAGCAGTGGCCTTTCAGCCGAGAGTTTCTGCTCTTGTTATCTTCACCTGCCTGTTCTCATGGCTGCAGCCCCGCTTGACACAAAGACAGCAATTATTTGACAGGCCTCCTGATAGGTTTGCTTTAGCAGCTGCCTTACTGAGTGCCAGAGAGCAGCAGCAATCAGCCTGTAATTCCAGCTCAGCTGAAAGATTTAATATGCCACCATAACAGAACAAAATAGATACAAGGAATTTAATCTAGCGTGGACCTGAAAATGTCAAGATCTGAATTCTTCAGTGTAAAACTGTGGCCTTGTAACGTCATACAATTCATTTATCATTTTATAAAGCTGTTGCCTTGTTTTACTATATCATATTTGCTAGAAGGCACCATGCTGGCGTGTCAAAGATCTCTAACTTGGAAGAGCAGGTCATTGTGTTTCCAGTGTGTATTTATTAACCTGTGAGCTTCTACGGCTTTGGGAATCACTGTTAAAGTGAAGCGGTCATCAGCTGGACCGCAGGTCTGTGCAGATGAAGTGAAATGCTATTTAAGCTGCAGAATGAATGTGGCTGACCTGTGTGGATGCGGTAGTGGGTCTCCAGCTGGTGCTTGAGGCTGAACTTCTTGCCGCAGCCGTTACATTCATAAGGCTTCTCTCCGGTGTGGATGCGCTTGTGACCCTTCAGTGTGCTCTCGTCACGGAAGCAGCTGCCGCAGAACTCGCACTCGAACGGATGGTCACCTGTCGTGCAGAGAGGCAATGATAAAGTTATTCATCTGAATGCATTTTTAATTGGGAGAAGTGGTGTTTTTATTCTAGAAAGCATTCGATTGGAGAAAAATGGGCTTTTCATCCGCAGAGCAGGGAATTAATAATAAATAAAATAGACAACGGGACCAGTGTAGTGTGATTCACGAACAAATGACTGTAATGAGCCAGTTCCTTTTAGTGAATCACAACCATACTGTGCTACCAGTGTAGGCAGATTCAGAAACAAATGATGCTTACAAATCGGTTCTTTTTAATGAATCCAAAACACACAGCAAGGCTCCCTCTTTTTATATGCATTATTTTGATTATCACTTTACTTTATTATTGTAATTACATTTTTTCTCTCTTTTGTTTCATGGTCCTGGGCAGATCAAGGACTTTGTTGTATATAACTTATTTATACTTTGTTAAAGGTACAATATGTAAGTTTTCACCGCTAGAGGGCGCGTATTCAAAACAAACAAAGAAACAAAGGCGTAGTTTAATGACGCCGTGACTGAGTATGGAATCATGGGAGTTGTCATCTTCATCCCCACAGCCGACGCAATCCGACGGGATGATGATGCCGTGACTGAGTGTGGAATCATGGGAGTTGTCGTCTTCATCCCCACAGCCGACGCAATCCGACGGGACTCAGGCAGAAATCATGTTCATGGATGAGCTAATGTATTAAAGATGTATTAACATCGTAGTATGAAGCAGAGTGAGGCAGAAAGCCGTCGAAGTGAAACGAGGCCGCTGAAGCAGTTGCTAATGAGAGACGAGCGTGACAAACAGCGCTGTTTTATCATGCTATATATGTTTGAAAGTTCTGATTTAATGCTACTCTGTGCGGTCGTCACCTGTCTAATAAAATGCACAACATATTAAAGCATCTTTGGTGTTTCCATATTTTCGGAAATCGAGGGGTTAGGCAGGCGACACAATGACACTATAGACACAGTCCGTCTCACTAGTTAAAATTGCTTATTTCTCTGGATTTAAACATTCTTCGAAACATTTGGGATAATGTAAGTACACAAGTCAGCAAAATATATAACACTGTTCTAGTGGTTTTTTGATATTTTAATAAAAAAATCTTACATATATTTTTTTTTTTTCCTTGTCCTTTCTCTTTTGTGTTAGTGTTTTTGGCAAATACAATATGTTTATCACAAAAAATAAAAATAACCAATCTGAAATACTGGTCTGAATAATTTACAGAATTAGCAAGAGAGAATTTCTTATGCAAAAATGGACAATAATCAAATAAAGCAGAACTGAGTCAAATTGATTCAGTGTTATTTTAGCATTATTTATCTACCATGATCTTACACACACATACATGTGTAGAATACAAAATAAAAACTCAGTATGTATTCAGTTTCATTTGAGTTTGTTTTAATAATTTTTATCGGCTTTTGTGATTTTTATTCATATATTAGTTTCATTTGTATTTATTTCAGTTGTAGTTTTAGTAATTTTAGTACTTTCAATGTATTTTATTTCAGTTAGCTGCCAAGGCAACTTTGCAAAATTGTAATTGAAGTTAAATTTTAAATTTAACATCACATTTTTACATTTTTTCATCTAGTACTAAAATTTTATTTCAATTAAATTATTTCAATTATTTCAAAAAATATATATATTTTTAATAGTTTTAGTTTTTAAAAAGTTTAAGAATAACAACATTGAATCAAATAGGAATCACAACAAATTTAATCAAATCAAGAGCTTCCTATGAACTGGAATTTAATTGAATCTTTATCAATACCTAGCTCTATTTGTACATAGTTTCTATATGGTTAAAGCTGGTCACTAGTTGTTCCAAATTGGTTTAGTTGGTTGACTAGTTGCACTCTCAGCTGGCGGGGGCTAAGAATGACCTGTTTGAGCTGGTTAACCACATTTCATAATATAACTTGAACTAGCTGAACACCTTAATCTGGGATGACCTGGATTTTCCTGTCAATCCATATTAAACAACAAGACTAACATTTCCTTAGTGATCACAAAGAACTATTTATTTTTTCTGTTGTATTGGCACATCTTATAAATAAAAACAGTCAGAGAGTTGCGCTCAGATGACAGAGTTATTAATATCGAGTAAACATCACAAGGTGCTGAAAGGGAATTATCCAGCACATTTCCCTCCGCTGGCTGTTCTAATGTCAGTGATCAGTACGAGTCTGATATGTGGTGATTTCAAACGCCGGCCGATTGCTAATTACTTTCCCGTTCTGACTAGCAGCCCCCCATATCATTTCCTCAGACAGCAGCGGCATATAACGCTCGCAATATTTAATACATTTCAGCCCGGGCGCCGTGGCTTTAAAGTAATCTGCGGTGACCTATGCTCTTCATTATCTCCCTGTCCAAGTGCTAGCCGTGCTCGGGAATAAATTGCATCTCTTGTTATGTTCCGTCATGCTCCGACTTGAACCCTCCTTTTAAGAGACAATGCAGAAATTACCTGAGCGCGTTCTCTAAGCCAATCACAACCCGCCATTCACATTCAAATACACTTCTGCCTGAGATGAATGGGTTTCTATCTGGGCTAAGAGAAAAAAAAAAGCAGACTGGGAGAGATGAGATCCCTAGTGAACAGATATGAGATGATAGATAGAGAGGCAGTCTTTATGCATCTGTATCAACTTATCCGATGCACCTTCTGAAAGCCCTCCAGCCTGTCTGTCATTAAAGTTAATTGCCCAGAGGCGGGCAGCAGGCAGGCCGGACTCACAACACCACAGGCATGCTAATGCGCTAACGTCGTCTACTGCGTGCGCATTCTGAACATGTCACTCGCACTGACTACACGTTGGAGGAAATATCCACAGGTATCAGCTTCGGTGCGTTTCAGTGCTTGAATGTCTATTATTGTGCAGACAATGTCAAACTGGAAGTTAAATGAGGTGTCAAACACATGTTTAAGTGTTTATTGACGATAGTACATTTTAGGTTAGACACTACTGTTCCATAATAAATCAAAAGGAGTGATTTTTACATAAGCATTGTTACATATTGAATAAGCTTTGCCTTGCCTGACAAAATGGCTTAAAAAGTCAAGGCCGAGCGACCTGCAGAGACTGTCTGTGCCATAAGCAATGTGAGCTTTGTGCTCTGTACCATCAAACACAGCTGTGAACATAGACAGCCGCCACTGTCTGCAAATGGCCTGGCAGTGAAATGGAGAGCGAACAGGAATGGCATATTAATGAGAACAGGCTACATGTGCAGAATGAAGAGAGGAGCAACTGGAGACGCACGCAGCCCATTGTTTGATTTGCCCCTCACATTGTAAATACAATGCATATGGTATGAAATATACAGGTAGGTACTTGTTGTGTTGGGGCAAATTACATCTAAGGTTCTTTTTTTATTTATTAGTTATGTTTTTGTTGTTGCATCATGAAATATTCCAGCTGAAAAGACTGGTAGAGCTGATGATTTATGCTGGTTAGTGCTGGTAGATCAATATCATTGTTGTTTTTTCTGACGACGCTGGCTGAGCAAGGGAGGCTTTTTGGGTAAGCTAGTTAAGATAGTTATACTACACTCTTAAAAATAAATGTTCTTTATTCACATTGATGGTTCCACAAAGAACCTTTAACATCCATGGAATCTTTCCATTCCACAAAAGGTTCTGTATAGTGGAAAAAAAGTTTTTTAGATTAATATAGTGTTCTTCAAATTAAAAAAAACATGGTTCTTTTAAGAACTGTTCACTGAAAGGGTCTTTAGGGAACCAAAAATGGTTCTTATGGCATTGCTGGAAAAACCCCTATTTGGAACATACTAGCATCCAAAAGCTCAGCATACATTGACATGAACAGTAACGGGCAAAGGTCTGGATTTACACCCACATCTCACACAAGATCTTTTGAATTTCTTGCTTTTTAAATAGCATTTTGATTAAATAGAGAGCAAATTGCGACCTAAAAATTGTAACCAAAAGTCCGAGACCTTCAATATGACCTAAAATATTTCTCATTAAATTCTTCCAAAACCAAATTGATATCTGATTTCTGTTTTCCACATAAAGAGCTCTTGTTAGAGTTCATACTGTATGCAACAGTTGTCTCATTTCTTTCTGCTTTTTTATTTTAGGATAAACATCTTAAGACTATGTTTATTTAAATGAGGTGCACCTAAGACTGTCAATAAGTCTCCTAAGTTTTGAAAGGATTTCTAAATTGCCAAAATTGTGAGGGTTTTGGCTTTGTTTTCCTATTGACAAGTTCTCTACAGTTCTCATACATTATATGTATGCATATTTGCATGGATTTGACCATTCTCTGTAGATCCCATGTTATTGCACACCATGACTGGCCGATTATGTAAAATGCCTGCATGTTATTGGTCAGACTACTTTTCAGTTATTACCTTCAAAAAAGTATGAAATCAATAGGAAAACAAAGCCAAAACCCGGACATTTTAGACAATTTAGAAATGCTGGCCAGGAAGTGTAAAAAGTATAAAACACCACAATTTTAGTAACTACGTTTATGCTCACTTCTGTAAGTTGTTTTAAAACTCCTGCAATTCAAGTGAAGAAAAATCAGATTTTGCTTTTTGAAATAGCTACAGAAGTTGACATTTACTCAGACTCCGTTAGAAACGTCAGAATGTCCTCTCAGATGTTGTTCTGGAAAAACTCATGTAGCAGTCTGTGGCGAGATGGAGTGCATACTTAATGCCTCGACTCTTTAAAAAAACAACCTCGCTTCATTTCTGGCCTCTCTTATCAAAAATGTACTTGTTGAGTCTAGACTTCAACTGACTCTGACAATCTTGCTGGTATTTCAGGTCAGAAAGAGCAAAAGCGAGAGAATGATGCACTCTTGCAAGTAAATGGAGTAGGGGCGATTTTTGTGCTCTTTCTGTTCACTGCCAGACCGTATGGATTTAATCATCTCTGTTTGCCTAGTTATGAAGGAAAAACAGAGATAACTGTTAAACATGCTTATACAAAGTACACTGATATAATCTGTTTTAACAAATTATAATGGGTGTCGATTCATATTTATTTAGTTTCTAGCAAATGTTTGCAGGAGCATGTTTAATATATTGTAATCCTACCTGTTGCAATGACAAGAATAAGAATGCACTTTCTCAGTGCCAGCTTACCAAATGTCCTTCTTCCACCTAAATCCCCTCTTTTTGTCATCGTTTTTGGGTCATTTGATAATTGAATTGTCACACTCAGAAATACATTACATTATGAGAATGGTAAAAAAGGTCAGGTTTGACCTACTGTCTGTAATAGAGGGGCTTGACTTAAGCTTAAAGTTACCCTGAAGGAAACGATGGGGAGAAGTGAGGTAGAGAAAGAGACAAAAGACTGTCAGAAGATAGTCTGAGCCTCAGATGGGCCAGCCACTGACTGTAGGGAGACAAAGTTTTGTTTACAAGTTACCACACTGAAAGTCACTGGATTGACAATGAAGGAAACGATGGGGAGAAGTGAGTTAGAGAAAGAGACAAAAGACTGTCAGAAGATAGTCTGAGCCTCAGATGGGCCGCCCACTGACTGTAGGGAGACAAAGTTTTGTTTACAAGTTACCACACTGAAAGAAGTCACTGGATTGACAAAGTCTGAGAGGTTTTTGGCTCTGAATATTTTTTCAGTAGAGGAGCTTGAGTAAGTTAAAGACACAATATCCATTATTTGAGCAAACGATCACTCTATTTGTTGCATGCCAGTCATGATAGCACTGCCTTTAGCATTAGCATTGACAATTTATGTGTCAGATATTAGGCCCATTTCCATCTAGGTGGGTGGTTCTTTGGCATAAATGTGACGATATGTACCTGACTTTGTCAATACTCAAAAATCTGGCTTGTCTGAGGATAAGTAAGAGGTTTATATAACCCTAGCAAGACTATATGAAGATGCTCCTCCTAAACTGTTTGAAACTTTGCCACATCTCAGCTTGTGGCCCGCTTGCCCTTTTCTGCATTAATGTGCTTTTAGATGACTCAGATATTGGCGGTTTGAGTGATGTTCAGGTAAAGCTCACCTGTGTGCAAGCGGAGATGGCGTTTGAGCGCTGTGTGGCTCGGGAAGGTGCGTTCACACTCGCTGCAGACATAGCTGCGCATGCCGGCGTGAATCTCCATGTGCTGCTGCAAAGCCTTCTGGGTCTGGAAACGCTTCCCACATAGGAGACAAAACACTGCCATGTCTGAGCCTGAAGATGAGAGACAAAATGAGAAGGCGTTTGGGAGTTCAATTAGTGTTTAGTGCAAAGAATGCATAATTTGGATTTGAGCCATTTTGCAGTTAAGTACATTTTAGCAAAATGAATGAATAAGTCTATATGTTTCATAATGGATGGGGTTAAAGAGACTTAGATGTATTGTCTTAGTTTCTCTTTTCTGCACAAAAAACAAACAAAACAAAACAGTGCTTTCAGTATCTATGGCCAATCAATAATGTATCTTTCAAGTAAAGCTGTCTCTAATTTAAAATCTTTGTGAAAGCCCAGTGGTGGGCTCGTGAACAGCAGGCTGGGATTGACTTCTCACTCAATCAATCAGCATTTACGACAAAGCTGAGAGTAAAAAAAGCATTAGTGCCTGAGACACATAAAAATGAACCTCTACACTTCACTGACAGCTCATCTGTAATGTGAGTTTTGTGTAAATGTACTCTGACAAGTTGCCCAATTTCTCTTCCATTCTCTCCAAGTTTAAGGGCCGACATTGATTACGAAGGGCCATTCAGGGGCCGGGAGAAGATATTCAACCTTGAAAACATTTTGACTAAGATCAAACATACAAAAGTAACATGTTTTATGGGTTAGGGTTATAAAAAAAATGTAAAAAGAAAAAGAAACATTTCAGATTCTGCACTTTTTCTAGGTCACTATTCAAATGTACTAAATTTGTGTCATCGATCTTGTAAATATGGTTAGATGTTCTTGCTTCAATAAAATAAAAGACATTTAGGGAATAGTAATGACAATAATAAAATAATAATAATAATTATTATTCCCTGTTTTACTTTATTTATAGGACAACAGCAACAACAACAACAAAAATAATAATAATAATTATTATTATTGTAGTATTTTTTTTTTTGTTAAATAAGAATGCAAAATGGAAGCATTTTCATGGTCTCTTTTTGGACGCCACCATGGCTCAAGAATCACCAAAAAAAAAAAGGCAGAAGAAAAACATTCAAGGCAAACCTCGCTGTGAAATACTGCAGAAACACATGACAGATATTTGTGTTGTCAGCTCTTTTCAGAAGAAAAAAATAACCAAGGCAATCCAGCAAAGACATAAATATATGAGATGACTGTGGTAAAGTAAGAGAAAGCACGAGGGGAAGAGAGAGAGGCAGCTTAGCTTCACTACTGTTTAATGTCTTTAGGAATAATTTACCTCTACAACTCCAACTATTTATACCATCACTCAGTTCCACTGAGAGCATCCCCCTGCTTCTATTTTTCCTCCTTCTCTCTCTCTCTGTCTCCTTCTGTCTCCCTCATTCTCTGTGTCTAGCTCCCAGCAGAGCTTTAATGGTTCTGAAGTGGCTGACAGAGTAGCTTAAGCCAGGTGAATAGGGCTGTTAATGGAGCCAGCTCCTCTCTCAGAGTGAGTGTCAGAGACTTGGCTCTCCTCAGCAGCTGCTCTGCTCTGTTTCCCACAGACTCTGTTACCCACAGTACACCTCACCCAGACACACAACAGGAGAAAGAGCTGTGTCACCAGCTACTCCTGCATGTCAAAATGATAAGAACATTTGCAAGTGCCTACTGTGTTTTCCAACATAAAGACAACAGGGTTGGGCAAAATACAGAGTTTAATAATAGTCTCACTTTCAATTCATGAATGGGAATGTGGATTGCACTGCCCACGTGCTATACAATTTTGAATTGGAAATACAGGAAGAGGAATTTAGTAAAATGCAATTCAAACAATAACACAGTTACGACAAGGACATTTCATTAGTCTTAACAAGTTTTGTGATAAAAGTATCACGTTTTCCAAAAAATATTAAATAGCACGACTGTTTTCAACTTTGCTAATAATAAGAAATGTTACTTGAGCAACAAATCAGCATATTAGAATGATTTCTGAAGCATCATGTGACACTGAAGACTGGAGTAATGATGCTGAAAATTCAGCTTTGTATCACAGGAATAAATTACATTTAAAAAAATATTCAATTAGAATATAGTTATTTTAAATTGTAATAATATTTCATAATATTACTGCATTTTTGATCAAATATATGCAGCCTTGGTGAGCATATAAAAGACTTGTTACAAAAACATTACACAATCCTACCAACCCCCAACAGTAGAGTATGTATAAAATAAACATAAAAACATATTAATATTACATTAAATACTAATAAGAATAAGAAAACAAAATATAATGCATATTTTTTTTTTTATAAATGCAGCCTTGCTTAATTGAATGTTGTGACCAATCAGAATCAAGTATTCCAGAGAGCCGTGTAATAATTCACGAATTTCTGTAAAAAAATGTTTTATATCTCTGTTTTTGGTGCTTTTAAATAAAAAATATCAACTTAGTAAAACAAAATTCAGAGAAAATATATTGTATGCTATGATATAACACATATGGGCTTTTAGAGATGAAGAAAGGAAAAAATGGAGGGGAAAAGTTGAAGTTGGGTTGTTTGGCTCATTGTGTGTGAGTGGGTCAGAGGTCAGGAGCACAGCAGGCAGATGTGAGAAGAGAGAAAGGACCCACCTGTCCCAGAATGCAATGACGAGAAAACAAAAATATCATTGAACACAGTAAAATAATCTCCAGATGACATTGAGATGAGATGTTTCTTACATACAGTAAATGCTGATTATACTGTTGTGTGGATGTAAATCATATAGTACAAACAGGTCATTCCTTCATGAAATTTTTGCCAGTTTGCCAAAAAATTTATTCAAATGCTCCGGGATGAAATACTTAAGGTTAATCGTAAACATGATTGATAGTAATAGCAATGCAAACCAGCACCACTAATGAAGAAAAACTCAAGCAAATCGTCTATTAACCATTTGGCTATTAGACATGGAGGTCAAAAGGCCATGAAGGCATATTTTTCTCTTTTGTGTCTAGGATATTCTTTTAGCCCTGCTCATGTAGAATTAATGAAGAAACACTCTCTTGAAGATAACACATTAATCATAAAGCACGCTTTAAAAATTCATATAAACCACCGACTCCTATTTCACATGCAGAGCCAGAGCCACCTTCCCATATCACACCTGAACTTTAATGTCAAAACTTTGTTTAAACAGATTATCTGGCGTAGAACCTCTTCGCTTCTTAAAACGAAAATACACAAGAAGCCAAGACCGCTTGTTCTGGCCCAATATCATTTACAATGGAGAGAGAGGCTGCATGCATCTCACCAATTCTTACAAATCCCCTTTAATCAGATATGAGAGGAACAGAGAAGAGGACGAGCATTAGTAAACACGAGGCTGTTCGGTGCCTTCATTGGCATTCGAGTAGGGTTAGAGTGCTGCATTTAAAATGCTGCCTGATGAGGACTACAAAATCAAACCATTTGTTACCACTACTGAGGAGCCTGCAGGCAACAGGCAATTAAATTGGAATTGGTGCAGGGAGATCAGATACAGATGATTCACACACAGAGAGGGGGAGATGTCAAAGCCCGAGTTTCATTTCGTTTGGAGGGGACAAATACTTCAAGAATAAACACATTTATTCTTCTGGCTTGCAAGCTCACCAGCCGCAGCGAATATAACTCTGCCATGATTCCGAACTGGATACGATTTATTAACATGGATTGTAAATACAAAAAACAAACATGCGTCTCAAGAACAGAATAAACACATCATCACTGGAATGACTGTGCAGCTCCAAATGAAAGCTGCAGTATAGCATTTTAACAGCACCAAATGAGAAAATAATGTCCCCTGTCTGCCACAGTTTGGGCCAAAGGTGCTCTAATATACCTGGAGTTGGCATTCTCGTCATCTCAACGGCAGTTGCTCAGCTGGAGCATGCAGATTTGGATGTATATGACTTTATTTCTGCCATCTTTGCTTCATGGGCATTTTTGATGTTTGTTTTCAGCAAATCACCTGAGATGCAAATGACATGTGACAGATTATTCCGTGTTTAATCATTAGACTACTATGAAAAAATATGCATTATATATATATATATATAGAGAGAGAGAGAGTTTATTTGCAAAAGCAGATAACTCTGTT